GGGGGGGGGGGGGGGTTAATGTCAGTTACAATAGCGACAAACCCTCTACCCGGAATCCCACAAAGGAATGACTTATTATGCAATAATGGTGTTTCAGCATGCAATAATAGTAACAACCCCTCAATAAGCCCCGCAAATTATGAACTCTGCAGTGAAATTCCTCCTCAAATAAACACCTACTATAAGGGAGAACAGTGTATTTTGTAAAAATATTTTCAAGTATTAAAAAAGCCTGTTATGTGTACATAAAACAGTTGAATGAATGGTGAAAATGTGATGTGTTTTTTCCTGAATAACAAAATGAAACCAATATTAATGCAAACATGGTGTCTGTGTCATTTGTCGTTCAAATTATAAACTAAACCACTCAAGACTTTCATTTTGTTTTAACAAGTATAGCTATTTAGATCAAATAAGTCATACGGGCAAGAGGTTTTGATGTTTGGGTCCAGGTGTTGCCTTTTATGAATGAATTATTCTTAAACGTATTCACAGAAAACATGTTGACATAACAGCTGATGTACATAGATGTACATTAAAGCATAATAAATATGTTCTTGGTATAGCTTATTGGAACAAATGGCTTTAATAGTGTTGTTATTGCTTCCACCTGTGGGTTTTTTCCCACAATGAAAATTCAAAGGCTGCAATACATTTGAGAAACATGCCTCCCAAATGATGTCAAGCTATTTTCCCATGCATGCAATGTTGTCCATTGGCTTGTTGTGAACTGTCATGTGCAGTGAATCACCTGAATTTAACTGTAATGGAGGTCCTCTTAAAATGAATTGGCAGAAAGAGTTTGCAAGTGCAGATTCAATACTTCTGTGTGTGTGTGTGTGTGTGTGTGTGTGTGTGTGTGTGTGTGTGTGTGTGTGTGTGTGTGTGTGTGTGTGTGTGCGTGTGCGTGTTTGCGCGTGTGTGTGCGTGTGCGTGTGTGTGTGTGTTAGCAGCGCTCCCTAGCTGCCTGCTCTGCTCTCCTGGCAGCCTCCTCCTCTCCCCCTCTCTCTACGGAAACACTTTCGGGAAGAATAAGGTTTTTCCTGCTCTCGGCCAGTCTTTAGTCGGAGCCGTGGCCTAGCAGGAAGAACAGCTCAACTATGTGGAGAAAGAAACGGGACCTTTGGGATTCCCTGGCGTGTCTCGTATTTCTCGTGACGCTCGTCGATGCTTATCGATGTAAGTATGCGACTGTTGGGCTTTTGCGGTGTGCAGTTTTCAACCATACGTACTTGGAAAGCAGTTAACGGAATTGCGTTTTGCAGTGTATTTACAGTCAGCAGATTGCATTCTGGATGGGACCAGTTCAGGATTTGGTATAACTTTTTAAGCTAACAGACAAACAAGTGTGAGGGGGCATGTCTCATTACTATGAAACAACGCTTGCACAACATGAGCTGCTCTCAACAACAACTAGGGGGTCATTTCTGGGAAGTAACGGTTTCGCAATGACCTAATTATTTTTTATTTCAAGCCTTTTCAAATAATGAGGTAGTCAACTTTGTGCATGCAAGCAGCAGCCATATCAGCCATCTGTCATGAGGACAGTAATTCCTGCTGGGATCAGTCCTATTGTAGCTGCCTGCTGGTATTAATCAGTGAAAGTATCACTGCACTGTAAACAGCTGTGTTCACTTCTGAGTGATGTGATGGCAAGCACTGACATTGGAAATATAGCTGCAGATTGTGTATTTTAATGAGTAGGCCTATGAGTTGTTATAGCTGCACAAAGTGTATATTTATCAGTGTGTGTTGTTATCTGCACAATGTGTATCTTTATGAGTGTGTGTTGTCATATTTCCCTAGTCCTGAGCCATAGCACAGCCTCGCAGTTCCTGAGCAGGCACCGGAGAGCCAACTCTCTGTTTGAGGAGAGTAAGAAGGGCAACCTGGAGAGGGAGTGCATTGAGGAGCTGTGCAACAAGGAGGAGGCCAGGGAGATCTTTGAGAACACGCCGGAAACGGTGAGAGAGAGGAGCACTGGGTCCATTTTCTTTGGTCGATTTATGTCATGAAATATTAAAACATGTCCATCCTAGTTTCTCAAAGTCAAAAGAGTTTCCAAAGGTTTTCTTTCAGTCTTTAACCCAAATATATTCACTTTCAAATTATATAAAATGAAATAGCCCATTTCCATAAATGAGGGGGTTAAAACAGCATATTCGGACACATTTAAATAAAAAATGACCTTGAATTATTAAATAATTTCCCATTCTTTTTCTGCGACTTTAATCGTTGAAGATGTATTCTAAAGGACCTCTAAAAAGGAATGAGAAAGAAGAAATTGAAAGTTATAAACATTTCTGTTTCAAGCAGAGCATTTCTTCACAGCACAGAGCTGGCTGCAACCTACTTTCTTTATATTTCATTCCTTTTTGTCAAATAAATGTGAATTTTAAATCTCTTTTTCTCCAGGAATACTTCTACCCCAAATATGTTGGTAAGTCTGCACCTTTTTTCTCTTAATATGTTTTAATAAAAGCTTTAATTTGCAGTTATCTGTTCTAATAACACATCAAAAAATTGTTGCAGCGTGCCTGGGTTCACACCGTGTCGGCATCAACAACCCAAACTCAGACGCCATCCCATCAGACCTTCGCACATGTGTGAAGGGTGAGGGCCATTTTAGTAGAACATGCATTTTTATGTCAGTTAGTCCTTAAAACTCATTTAGGTTTCCCTACCTGTGAACGTTTTTTGTCAATGCTTTCATTAACATCGTGTGTGTGTGTGTGTGTGTGTGTGTGTGTGTGTGTGTGTGTGTGTGTGTGTGTGT